GAGTAACCAGCGATGCAGGGGTTGGCTGTTACACTGCACTTCGCACACTCATCTGTTCGGGATTGGTGGGGGCAGGGGGAAGGGAGGGAGAGGGATTGTAAGGCGAGGGGAGAGTATGGCAGGGGGTATACGACAGGGGGAGGTATGACAGGGGAAGGTATGACAGTGGGAGGTATGACAGGGGAAGGTATGACAGTGGGAGGTATGACAGGGAGAGGTATGGCAGGGGGAGGAATGACAGGGGGAGGGGTATGGAAGGGGGAGGTATGGCAGGAGGGGGTATGGCAGGGGGAGGTATGGCAGGAGGGGGTATGGCAGGGGGAGGTATGGCAGGGAGAGGTATGGCAAAGGGGGGAGGCATGGCAGGGGGAGGTATGGCAGGGGAGGTATAGCGGGGGGTGGTATAGCTGGGAGAGGTGTAGGGGGGGGGTGGGGTATAGCAGGAGGAGGGGAGGTATAGCAGGGGGAGGTAGGTACGGCACCCAAACGACTCACTCTTGCTGCACAGGGGGTGACTGTAGGCCACGAGCATGGGAAGCGTCCCGGAAGGATCGTACTTGGCAAGGTCCTCGATATTGACGGCAGAGGGAGGTTTAGCAGGGGGAGGTATGACAGGGGGGGGGGTACGACAGGGGGAGGTACGACAGGGGAAGGTACGACAGAACCCACTCTTGCTGCACTCAAGCACTCACTCTTGCTGCACAGGGGGTGACTGTACGCCACGAGCATGTGAAGCGATTTTTGAGTCGACTCAAATATCGACTCATCACAGGCAGAGGGAGGTATAGCCGAGGGAGGTATGACAGGGGGAGGGAGGTGTGGCACCCAAACACTTACTCTTGCTGCACAGGGGATGGCTGTACGCCACGAGCATGGGAAGCGTCCCGGAAGGATCATACTTGGCAAGGTCCTCGATATTGACGGCTGCTTTATCCTTGCGTACAGCCCTGACCATGACGTCAGCGACACGTGTCGCCATCTGAGTGGACACCTGGTTGCGCTGCCTGAACTGCTGGTAGCGGGCAGGCTTGTTCTGAGAGAAATGGGTGAGGGAAGGAAGGTGGAGGAAGGAAAGGAAGGGGTGGAAGGAAGGTGGAGGAAGGGAAGGAAGGAGAGGAAGGAAGGGGCGTTGAATCAGGGGGGATGGATGGTGGGTAAGGGAGGTGGGGTGCGAGAGGTAACGTCGGGCTTGTTCTGAGTGGTGGGTACGAGAGGCCATCTGAGTGGGCACCGCGCGGGCTTGTGCCCCCGGGCGTACGAGAGGTAAGGGGTACGTGTCGCCATCTGAGTGGACACCTGGTTGCGCTGCCTGAACTGCTGGTACCGGGCAGGCTTGTTCTGAAGGGAGGGAGGAAGAGGGAGGACGGGGAGGAAGAGGGAGGACGGGGAGGAAGAGGGAGGACGGGGAGGAAGAGGGAGGACGGGGAGGAAGAGGGAGGACGGGGAGGAAGAGGAGGGGATTTGAAGCACAGGGGATGGTGGGGAAGGGAGGTGGGTGTGAGAGGTAAGGGGTTAGACACCTGGTTGCGCTGCCTGAACTGCTGTTAGCGGGCAGGCCTGTTCTGAAAAGGGGGAGAAAGAGGGAGGACGGGGAGGAAGAGGAGGGGGTTGAAGCAGGGGGGATGGTGGGGAAGGGAGGTGGGTGTGAGAAGTAAGGGGTATGACACCTGGTGGTGCTGCATTAACTGCTGGTACCGGACGGGGTTCTTCTGAGAAAGGGAAGAGGACAGACGGAGAAGGAGGAGAAGGAGAGGGTAAGGGAGCCTGAAGGGAAGAGATGTGCTTACATGCATCTTGGGGGGGAATATTCCGACCTCTCCCCCTTCCTATCCTGCCTACGCTGGTGGCGATGATAAGACCTACGGTTATCATTGCCACCGCTCCTGCTACCTGCTGCCGCAGCAGCTGCGCGCACCTGCGTTCTCGGGGAGAAGATCCCGACCGCCCCGCCCTTCTTGTCCAGCCTCCGCGCGTGCGCCGCGGTCAGCATCGCGACGAGCGCGCGCTTCTCCATTGTCTTGCGCGCAATCACCGCGTCGGGCCCGCGCGTCATCCGCGCAACGCCCTTCACTCCGCCGTAAGACTGCACGAGGGGGAAGGGAAAGGAGAAGGAGAAGGGAAGGGGAAGGGTAAGGAGGAGGGAAGGGAAAGGGGAAGGAGAAGGGGAAGGGAAAAGGGGAATGAGAAGGAGAAGGGGAAGGGGAAAGGGATTTCTGCTCTTGCGCGCAATCACCGCGTCGGGCCCGCGCGTCATGTGCTCAATGCCCTTCACTCCGCTGTAGGACTGCGCGCGGGGAAGACGAGCGGGGTTTGGGGGGAAAGGGAAGGGTGAGGATGCGGGGACGCAGATAGCGGAGAATATAGGATCGCGGATAGCGGGGGAATGGGCTTGGGAAGGGTGGGGGGGGGGGGGGGTCGGCGGAACAGACATGCAAGGATCATCTGCATGGTTCGGTCGTACGGTTCATGTTTCTACCCATTACAGTTTCATCTTGCCAATTTGACCGTTCAATCTCGAGGTGTGTTCACAATATTCTTACCTTAGTGCTAGTCCTTTGCTCACCATGGCGACAGGAGCGCCAATCGCGCTCATGCGACTGGCGAAGATCGCAGAGCCCGGGACGACGACGTTGGCGACCCAAACCGCCGTCGTCGTGAGCTGTTGTGCGACAACGCGAAGGACAAGAGGGGAGGGGGGAAAGGAACGGGAGGAGAGGTGGGTGAGCAGAGAGGAGTTTGGGTATGGATACAGATGGGTACGGATGGGTATGAATGGGAGTGGATGGTTACGGATGGATACGGATGGATATGGATGGGTAAATCTCGACGTGTGCGATAAATTCCACCTTGCTCGGCGCGCAACGTACCTGACTGTAGACGTTCTTCGCGCACTCCTCCTTGCTCGGCGCGCAGCCCATCCCGCAGTTGGTCCATTTCCCGCCGTACGCGCTACAGTCGTGCACGCATAGCAAACCCGCGGGCCGATATCCCGCCTTACACTTTGGCATGCAGTTTCCCATCACATTTTGCTGCCGCATCGGGCAGTTTGATAAGCCCTTTTTGCCGCGCGACTTCCGCGTGTACGTGTCGCGCCAGCAGAAATAAAATATCGACGACGTGTTGACTACCTCTAGATTCTCGCGCCGAGGCACGGCATATGCGGCGGGGAGGCTGCTTATATCGTGGATGGCACCTTCGGCTGAGACGGGTAGAGTGGAATCATTTGTAGATTCGATAAATGCTGGGCTCACATAAACGGATACGCAGCTCGAAAAGCAGCTAAATATTATCAAAGTTACAACAGTGAACGATTGAAATAGCGACTTGCGTCTCGCGGCAACAGCGGATCCACCTATTCGCGGCATGGTCGAGACGTATTGAAGAACCGCTTGGTGCATATTGGAACCCGCGCAGACAGCAACGGAATTGAGGTATTGCCTAGGCGAATTCGGCACCAGCGAACTACTAAGGCTTGAAATAAGCTCGACTCAGGTATATGAAGGTGATATGGCTAAAAAAATCAGTGTACAGTTGCTGCTGGCCCCCTGCTGCTGGCCCCCTGCTGCTGCCTTGCTGCTACTGCTCGTCTAGTTGCCACCGACTATCGTGCTCCCACCGTCAGAAATTCGACCGGTTCTCTATCGCGTTAAATTTCACGGCGCGGTACTCTGGCTCGAGCGCGGCGCTCTTTCCGACGGCGTTAAAAAGCGAGATACAGTTCTAACCACGGCCCTGGTTCAGAGCGGGTGCGACCTTGACCTCTGCGGTCCGATTTGGGGTAGGTATATCGCGAGGAAACCACTGCTCTAGTGGAGCGAGCGCTGTGTAACCTGGCCGCTGCTTTGCAAATAAGAAGGGGCAGGCCACGGGGAAATGACTACGCGAATGGGGCTCAAGGAAATGCCTGCGTCTCTGAGGGTACGGACAGAACGGGTGGACCGTCGAGTACCCGCCCCCCTGGCAGTCGGCTCGACGGGGCTTTACTTGCACGATATGTCGGTGATCACGAGAACAGAGGGAGCTCCAAGCCAATGCGTCGTCACTCGCGAGTCGTGACGCGCATCATCTGAAACACGCTGCACGAGCCATGACGTGGTCGGTAAAACGTTTTCATATAGTTCAGCTCAACACAACACAAAACAACTTTCCTCGTCATGCTTGCTTTGATGAGGTTGGGTAAAGCGTTGGATCAGGCAGGCACGCACCCCACAGCGGGAAAATGAACATTTGCAGCTTCGCACCCTTTTGCTCCCATGTATCATGGATGCCATTCACTGCATCACTCAGAGTCTCACTGAATCGAGTCTGACTGAATGACTTCGACGTGCAAATTTGAGATGATCGACAAATGCGTCTCGGGAAAGCGACGCGGGGTGTGTTGTTGTATGGTAACCTTCAGACCAGATTGGTTTCGGAAACGATATTTTGGTTAGCGCTACAGCATGGAAGCACAAGGACTTGCATCGCGTGAGCTACTAACGACGATTGTTTTCCCCGTCTGCCAGATGCACAGCTTCTGGAAGTAGGAAACGAGCTTCTTGCCCTGCTGGCAACAAAGACTGCCACGCTGGACTTACAGTTGCTCCCCTTACGACACCAGTGACTGTGTTCCTGCAATACCGGAGCCCACCTCCAGAATCTCCGGCAATTAGCACATCTTCGTCACCCAAAAAAACGAACCCCAACACCCATGCCGAAGTTGGTAACACATAAAAGTACCCGATCCCAGCGAGTTGCGAACCTAAAGATATCCCACGAAATCTACCGAAAGCTTGTTACTGCGGTCGCAAGGGAGAAGCCTTGGGATCTCCCCACACAATCAGGCTGGAGCGGTTCTTCCAAAATGCTCATATTTCAGATTCCAGTCCTGGGCAGTCGTTTTTGTTCAGCCTTTCTTCAGATTCCCTTCTCTTCTAGTCTTTCCTGCTTGGGAGCCTTCGGCTGACGTTACTTTTAAAAAGACTACTCCCAATCGCCTTCTTGACACGCTCAAATTCACCATGTCTAAGAAGAGCGTTAGCTCGTTGACCGAGGCTGACCTTAAGGGAAAGAGGGTGCTTGTCAGGGCTGATCTGAACGTTCCTCTTGCCGGCGATAAGATCACTGACGACACTCGCATTCGCGCGGCCATTCCCACCATCAAGCACCTGTTGGAGAAGGGTGCTAAGGTTCTTCTCGCGACCCACTTGGTGAGTCTTAGGAAACCATGTGTAGAATGCCATTTTTTTACTTTTCTTTTAGCGAGCCTGAATGCACATTTCTGCAGTGGTGCTGGTTGTTCACTTCATCGATAGCCAGCATGTTTTAACACTGCCTTTTTCTTTTCTCTTCATTAGTTATTTTGGCGGTGGTGTCATCCTGCCTCTCTTGCAGCCTCTCCTGCCGTCTCATTCTCTTCCGTCCTCTCATTCTCCTGTTTTTTTTCAGGGACGTCCCAAGGGTGTCACCGAGAAGTACCGCCTGACACCTCTCGTTCCTCGGCTCTCAGAGCTTCTCGGCCAGGAGGTCAGTTTTGATCACTCGCTCCATTTTTTGTCTGATAAGTTTTCCTGCATTTCATTGCGAACCATCCAACACTGTAAATCAAACGCTATCACTAAAGCGTCTTTTTGCGCAGCATTTGCACGTAACGACGGTTGACTCGCCGTACAATAAACGCGAACACCAAGCTTGTGACCCTTCCGTCGACCCGATTCCCTTTTAAACCGTGTAAACTTTATTTTTGTTTCGTAACTTTTTCTCTCTCTCTCTCTCTCTCTCTCTCTCTCTCTCTCTCTCTCTCTCTCTCTCTCTCTCTCTCTCTCTCTCTCTCTCTCTCTCTCTCTCTCTCTCTCTCTCTCTCTCTCCCTCTCCCTCTCCCTCTCTCTCTCTCTCTCTCTCTCTCTCTCTCTCTCTCTCTCTCTCTCTCTCTCTCTCTCTCTCTCTCTCTCTCTCTCTCTCTCTCTCTCTCTCTCTCTCTCTCTCTCTCTCTCTCTGTGTTTCCCGTGTACTGTGCAGGTGAAGAAGGCCGACGATTGCATCGGCGAGGCCGTCGAGAAGGCTGTCGCGGAGCTCAAGGAGGGTCAGGTGCTGCTGCTCGAGAACGTGCGGTTCCACCCCGAGGAGGAGAAGAACGTCGCCGAATTCGCGCAGAAGCTCGCGGCGAATGCGGATCTGTATGTTAACGATGCGTTCGGCACGGCGCACCGCGCGCACGCGTCCACGGAGGGCGTGACCAAGTTCCTGAACCCGTCTGTCGCGGGGTTCCTGCTTCAGAAGGTACGTGTCATCTGTCTCGCAGTCTTTTTTGTTGCTGCTCGCCCTCAAGCAATTCGGAGCGAAACTCAAAAGCTGTCCGTCGCTGGATTCCTCCTTAAGTAGGTACGCTTCATCTATTCCCGCGCGCCCACAAGCAAGCTTCGTAGGGAAATATGTAACTGTTACGTTGCAAAAGTGAAAGTTATATCTTGAAACCGTACGTGCTTATATCACTCTTTTAGAAGGTGGGTCTAAATGTTGAAGCAGGGAGCGTTGCTTCAGCTGCCTATCTGTCTATCCATGCCTTCATACTTGTTGAAGTTCTCTGTGAACCTCGAATTCCTAAATGAACCTCCACGCACCACCATACCATCATTATCACATCACCACTGTCTCAGCAACTTTGATTACACCGTCGTTTCGTTCACACCAACCGCCACTGCTCGTTCCGTGTACTCGTTATTGTCTTCCTCAGGAGCTGGACTACCTGGTTGGAGCTATTGCTGAGCCCAAGCGGCCACTGGTGGCCGTCGTGGGAGGGTCCAAGGTGTCTACCAAGATTAGCGTGCTCGAGTCTCTTATCAACAAGTAGGTTTCCTCTTTTCAATAAATAGGTAACCCGTTTCTGCTAGTTGCCGTCGTGTGGGGATTTGAACGAGCGTCGTGTGGGGTTTAAGCAAGCAACCGCTGGTTGCCGTCGTCTGGGATTTCAAGAAGCCAAGGAGAAACACATCAAGCTGCTGCTGCTGCTGCTGGCGGCTTCAGAGGACGGGTTCTCCTCTTCAGCTTCCTCAATTTCACTCCCGTCCTCCCACCCACCTCCCTCCTTCTCCCCATCTCCCAAACCCGCTTCCCTCCTCCCAGGTGCGACGCGCTGCTGCTGGGCGGCGGCATGATCTTCACGTTCTACAAGGCGCAGGGCCTATCGGTGGGGTCGTCGCTGGTGGAGGAGAGCCAGGTGGAGCTGGCGGCCAGCCTTATCAAGCTGGCCAAGGAGAAGAATGTCGACCTGCGCCTGCCCCTGGACGTCAAAGTCGCGGATAAATTCGATAACCTCGCGGACACCAAGGTCAGCCTTCGGCGGCGGGAGCAATAGCGTTAGGCTGAGAGGGGTGTGAGATTTTCCCTAGTGTGGAACGGTGGAAAGGTGGAATGGGAAAGGGGGTGCTGTAGTTGCAGCTGCTGCTGCTGCTCCTCCTCCTCCTCTTCTTCCTCCTCTTCTTCTTCCTCCTCCTCCTCTCGCCCTCCCTGCCGCCACTGCCGCCGCTGCCGCTGCTGGCAGTGATCTCATGCTGACCCTGGGAGGTGGAAGCATGGCAGCTTGGGAGATGAAAATGTTTTGAGAGACTAGTAGTGGATTGGGGATTCAGGAGAAACAGAAGATCGCCTTAGAGTGCAGCAAGCCTGTTAGCTCGACGAGTGTAGGCATAAGCGAAATCTGAAGCACGACGTTAACCCATTTCATGGTTTTTCAAGAAAAGCGACTAATTCCGGTCACCCATGTCTCCTGCTGCCCGTCTACACTCCACGCAGTCCTAGGCGGTGTAAGCACGGACGCCTTCCCAGATGGCAGGATGAGTTTGCAAAACAGCCCTGACAGTATCAAGGCATGTTATTGGTTTCAGGTGAATGCTGGGACAAGCCTTCAAGCCTTCAAGCCTCTCTCCTCTCTTCCTCCGCACCCCTTTCCCATCTCCAGGTGGTTTCAGCTGACTCCATCCCCGATGGCTGGATGGGTCTTGACATCGGTCCTGACAGCATTGGTGCATTCTCCGTTGTGCTCGATGGTGCCAAGACCATCATCTGGAACGGCCCCATGGGCGTCTTTGAGATGTCCAACTTTGCTGAAGGAACCAATGTGAGTGCTGCAACAAGTAATGTGAGGGGCATGAATGATGTGAGGGATGCGGATGATGTGAGGGATGCGGATGATGCGAGGGATGCGGATGATGCGGGGGATGCGGATGATGCGAGGGATGCGGATGATGCGAGGGATGCGGATGATGCGAGGGATGCGGATGATGCGAGGGATGCGGATGATGCGAGGGATGCGGATGATGCGAGGGATGCGGATGATGCGAGGGATTCAAGTAATGCTAGGTGATGGTCCATGTTGACACGACATGCTGTTGGGAGCTGTAATGGTCCATGCCGACACTCTGTTGGGAGGTGTGATGGTCCATGCAGACATGGTGCAGATCGGTGGTGAGTCAAGCTGGTCCATGCCATGCCATGTGAGCCACAGTAACGTACCTGCGAAACCCCGAGCCCCTCTCCCGTCCTGTCACCCACTCCCTGTGCCTCCCAGCATCCCTTTCCATCCCTCGTTGCATGTAAATACAAATCCAAAACGCTTCTATCACTCCCTCCACGCTCCTTCAACTGCAGGCCATTGCCGCTAAGCTTGCAGAAATGACAGAGAAGGGTGCGACGACCATCATTGGAGGTGGTGACAGCGTGGCAGCAGTGGAACAAGCAGGATTGGCTGACAAGATGAGCCACATTTCGACAGGTGGCGGCGCGTCATTGGAGCTGTTGGAGGGTAAGGTGCTCCCTGGCGTTGCTGCTCTCGATGAGGCCTGAATAATTATGGCTATGTGGCAGAAAAACTGCTGCAGTTGCTGTGCTGATAGTCAATGCAGAAGATGATGTATGAACATCTTTGGAAGAAACTTTGCATGTTTCAGTGAATGCAACTACACTTAGGCGCTGGCCATGTAACACTTTCTGTGGAAAACCATACATTACTATGTATGCCTAACTCCTCCCCCTCACGAGCACTCCCCTTCCTTGTCGCCCGCGGTCCCCTACCCCGTCTCTCTCTCTCCCCTCGCCCCACACTATCACTCCCCTTCCCTGTCGCGTTCACTCCCCCCCTACTTCCTATCACTCCGCTTCCAAGTCACAAGCACTCCCTCTCCAATCGCGTATCACTCCCCTTCCCCATCTATTGGGACCCGCTCCCCCCACCGCTCGCACTGCCCTCCCCCGTCTCTAACACTCCCTCCCCGTAACTAACACTCCCCGTCCCCCTAGCGACCATTCCCCTTCCCCGTCACTATCACTCCCCTTCCTCGTCGCGTTGTCTCCCCCTCCCCCTCGCTATTAGGCCCGTTGCAATCCCCTGAGCACGCCCTCCCCTTCCCCTTCGCAAAGACTCCCCTTCCACGTTGCTATCTCTCACTTTCCCCCTCGATAGCTCTCCCTTTCCCCACCGCTTGCACTCCCCTCCCCCGTCGTTATCACTCCCTCCCCGTCACTATCACTGCCCTTCCCCGTTGCTATATCCCTCGTTCCCCCTCGCGAGCACTCCCCCTCCTCGTCGCGTTCTCCCCCCTTCCCCCTTATTAGCGTGCCCGTTACCCCCCACACGTGCCCTCCACTTCCCCTCGGTGAGCACTCCCCTTCCCCGTCACTATCTCTCCCTTTCCTGTCACTAGCACACCCCTCAATGGTCGCTTGCAATCCCCGATCCCGTCGCTATCGTCACCCTTCCCCGTCACACGCACTCCCCTTCCCCATCGCCTATCACTCCCCTTCCACGTCGCAAGCACTCCCTCTCCAATCGCGTATCACTCCCCTTCCCCATCGATGAGGACCCGCTTCCCCCACCGCTAGCACACCCCTCCCCCGTCGCTATCACTCCCTCCCCGTCACTATCACTCCCCTTCCCCGTCACTGTCACTCCCCTTCGTTGTCGTGTTCCCTCCCCTCCCCCCTCGCTCGCGTGCACGTCCAACCCCCATGCGCGTCCTCCCCTTCCCCCGTCACTATCACTCCCCTTCCTCGACGCGCTCTCTCCCCTTCCCCCTCGCTAACGTGCCCGTTGCAATCCCCGTCCCGAGCCTTCCCCTTCCCCTTAGCAAAGACCCCCCTTCCGCGTTGCTATCTCTCCCTTCCGCCCACAATAGCTCTCCCTTTCCCCACCGCTATCACTCCCCTCCCCCGTCACTGTTACTCCCTCCCCATCACTATCATTCCCCTTCCCCGTCACTGTCACTCCCCTTCGTTGTCGCGTTCATTCCCCTTCCCCCGTCACTATCACTCCCCTTCCTCGTCCCAGTCTCTCCCCTTCCCCCTCGCTAGCGTGCCCATTGCAATCCCCTTTGCACGCCCTCCTCCTCCCCTTCCGCAAAGACTCCTTTTTTTCGCGTCGCTATCTCTCCCTTTCCCCCTCGATAGCTCTCCCTTTCCCCACCGCTAGCACACCCCTCCCCCGTCGCTATCATTCCCTCCCCGCTACTATCACTCCCCTTCCCCCTCGCGACCATTCCCCTTCCCCGTCACTATCACTCCCCTTCGCTGTCGCGTTCCCTCCCCTTCCCCCTCGCTCGCGTGCACGTTCCCCCCCCATGCGCGCCCTCCCTTTCCCCCGTCACTATCACTCCCCTTCCTCATCGCGGTCTCTCCCCTTCCCCCTCGCTAGCGAGCCCGTTGCAATCCCCTTTGCACGCCCTCCCTCTTCCTTCGCAAAGACTCCCCTTCCATGTCGCTATCTCTCCCTTCCGCCCACGATAGCTCTCCCTTTCCCCACCGCTATCACTCCCCTCCCCCGTCACTGTCACTCCCTCCCCGTCACTATCAGTCCCAAAAGAATGTGTTACTAAGCCCTTCCACTTCCACATGCTCTTTAAAAATTATGATAGAACATCCAATGGCTGGCAATAGAGAGGATAGATAACAGAAATCCAGCCAACCTAAGGCAGTTCATCAGCTCCACAATCCCATCCAATTGGCAGTAGTTGCTGCAGCCTGTGAGGAAGCAGCACCACTCCTGAAGGTATGCCTGTTCCCATAGTTCAAGACAACAGCCAAGATAACAACAATTCCGCCGACATAGTCCATTCCATTGCTTCTGCTCTTCTTCATGACCTGTGAACCGTGGGACTTCTGAATCGCCATCCTCTCTCTCCCACCAGCAGCAACACGCTTGGCAGGTCCTTATACTCCCATCCTCTCCCAGCCGCCCACCATTGGCAGAAGCTGCTGAACCTTGTCGTACATCCCCAGCAGCCCTCCCGTATGTACAAACAAAACTCGCCGCCCAGCCCATTCGTCTGGATTCTGCCTCATGTCCTGTAGCAATCCCTTCAGAGCCTTGCCACTGCGGGGGGTGGGGAAGGAAGAGGGCGAGTCAGGGAGCAGTTATGGCTTCAAGGTTTTGAGACTCAAGAGACTGAGGCTTAAGCAGAAATGGCCTGCCCATTACCTCCTCCCAATTCCTCCTCTCAATCCCTCCTCCCATTCCCTTCTCCCAATTCCTCCTCCCAATCCCTCCTCCCATTCCCTTCTCCCAATTCCTCCTCTCAATCCCTCCTCCCATTACCTCCTCCCAATTCCTCCTCTCAATCCCTCCTCCCATTCCCTTCTCCCAATTCCTCCTCCTAATCCCTCCTCCCATTCCCTTCTCCCAATTCCTCCTCTCAATCCCTCCTCCCATTACCTCCTCCCAATTCCTCCTCTCAATCCCTCCTCCCATTCCCTTCTCCCAATTCCTCCTCCCAATCCCTCCTCCCATTCCCTTCTCCCAATCCCTCCTCCCAATCCCTCCTCCCATTCCCTTCTCCCAATCCCTCCTCCCAATCCCTCCTCCCAGTCCCTCCTCCCAATCCCTCCTCCCAATCCCTCCTCCCAGTCCCTCCTCCCAATCCCTCCTCCCATTGCCTCCTCCCAATCCCTCATCCCATCCCCTCCTCCCTCCCTCCTCCCAATCCCTCCTCCCATTTTCTTCGAGCCACATAGACACATAGAGATGCCGTATCTAACAAATGTATACATAAACATATACATGTAGACACATACCTGTAGACTGGGTCGAGCATTATGCCGGTGCTTTGAGCCACATTGACACATAGAGGTACACAACATATAACAGGTGTACTTGTAACCTTATGCACTTTAACGCACGTACCTGTAGACTGGGTCGAGCACTATGCCAGTGCTTTGAGAAACGGACTGCACCAGCTGAAGCTCCTCCTCTGTGCTTGTGGCGTAGCCTGCTCCCTTCACCTGCTCACATGCACGCACACACACACACATGGAATAACCGGGAGTGTCACATACATATGGAATAGCCCGAGTGTCACATACACGCAGAGAGCACTATGCCGGTTCTTTGAGCCACGGACTGCACCAGCTGGAGCTCCTCCTCTGTGCTTGTGGCGTAGCCTGCTCCCTTCACCTGCTCACATACCGATGCATGTATTGAAGCACATACACACGTGCATAAAGAGACACAGAGTGCACTGCAGCAGCTGCAGATCCTCCTCTGTGCTGATTGCGCATCCTGCCCCCTTCACCTGCTCATGCGAGTATACAGGGACGCATGCACACATGCACGTATGGGTGTACAACATATAGGCACAGAGGGACACGGACTGGACTGCCCCAGCTGCAGATCCTCCTCCGTGCTGATTGCGCATCCTGCCCCCTTCACCTGCTCATGCGAGTATACAGGGACGCATGCACACATGCACGTATGGGTGTACAACACATAGGCACAGAGGGACACGGACTGGACTGCCCCAGCTGCAGATCCTCCTCTGTGCTGATTGCGCATCCTGCCCCCTTCACCTGCTCACATGGTCAGATTCACATAGGGTATACAGGAACATATGCACATATGCACGTATGCAAGTACAGGCACATAGGCACACAGGGGCACGGACTGCACTGCACCAGCCGAAGCTCCTCCTCCGTGCTGATGGCGTAGCCTGCCCCCTTCACCTGGGCACATGGACGCATAGATACACAGGGATACAGACACATATGAAAGCACACAGGGGGACACACACTGGACTGCACCAGCCGAAGCTCCTCCTGCGTAGCCTGCCCCCTTCACCTGGGCACATGCATGTGTACATACACAGGGATACAGACACATATGAATGCACTGAGAGTCCCTGACTGAATTTCACCAGCTGAAGCTTCCCGTGCTGATAGCGTAGCCTGTCCCCTTCACCTGCTCACACATGCACATGCACATGCACATGCACATGCACATGCACATGCACATGCACATGCACATGCATGTATGGAAGTAGAGGCACATATGCACATGTGGAGAAATGCACACATGGACACGTGTGGTTCTGAATGTAAAAGTAGCTGGGAGTGTCGCACACACGGAATACCATTCCATGTAAGAAAACAGTTAACAGCATTTTCTAGGCGCTTAAAAAACAAGGCAGAGAAGCATGCAAGCTCACATCAATGACTCGCAGCAGGTCGCGGGCAGCAACGCTCCCAGGCGCCGATGTGACTCCGTCTACAAGCCCTTGAATGTAGTCGTAGAAGTAGCTGGGAGTGTCGCACACAGAGTAGGCATGCACGCGGGAGGAGAGGGCGCTCAGATGCACTCCCAGCGCCAACCCTGCTGACGTGCCGCCACTGGGGGTGTTGGTGTAGGGGTAGGAAGGAAGCAAGAAAACAGGGAGTAGATGGGAGTTGCTGGGAGAGTGTCGCACACAGAGTAGGCATGCATGCGCGTGGGTGGATGAGAGGGCGCTCAGATGCACTCCCAGCGCCAACCCTGTTGATGTGCCTCCACTGGGCGTGTAGGTGTGGGGGTAGCAGGGAAGCAGGAAAGCAGGGAAGCAGGGAAACAGGGAAGCAGGGAAACAGGGAAACAGGGAGTAGTTGGGAGTTGCTGGGAGAGTGTCGCACACAGAGTAGGCATGCATGCGCGTGGGTGGATGAGAGGGCGCTCAGATGCACTCCCAGCGCCAACCCTGCTGATGTGCCGCCACTGGGGGTGGTGTGTTTGGGGGACAAAGGAGAGATAAGGAAGGTGGGTTGTTAGGAGAAAGGGACGCACGGAAAAGTGGATGCAGGGCAAAGACGTGGAAGGACTTGATAGGTGCAGAATGGCATGGCATGGCATGGCATGGCATGCACGGTATGACACGCACCTATCAAGCCCTTCCATGCAGGGGAAAGACGTGGAAGGACTTGACAGGTAGCGGGACGCAGGGAAGTGTGAAAGTAGCCAAAAGGTGTAGTTTTGAGGTGACTAAAAACAAAAAGTATTGCACACAGAGTAGGTGTGTGCGTGGGCAGCGACTCTTGAGACGTCTCAAAAGTAGGTGTGCGCGTGGGCTGTGAATACAACACATGCATTCTCCCCTTGCCACGGCATTCACCTGCCACTCATCAGAGCACCTGCCGTTCTGTTCATGCATCTGCCACACGCATGGCAATGCCAACAATTAAACCCCGAAGCACCCCCCGCCTCTCCCCCCTTCCCCGCCACTAGCCAGCTGAACGCACACACCCCCACCAACGCATGCCCTCATCCCGCCAATCAATCTCCCATCACAGCACTGAGCTCTCACCTGCCACACGCCATGGCAATATTGTCAAACCCCGAGGCACCCCCTGCCTCGCCTTTGCCCAGCTGCTGCTGAATCTCCTGCCTCACCTCTACCTTTCCCCTCTCTTCCTCACCTGCCACACGCCATGGCAATATCGTCAAACCCCGAAGCACCTCCCGCCTCGACAATCGTCAGGTGCACTTGACCGATCACTTCACTCACCTGCCACACGCCATGGCAATGTCGTCAAACCCCGATGCACCTCCCGCCTCGCCTTTGCCCAGTTGCTGCTCGATTTCCCTCACTGCCTCCATGTATCCCCTGGTATGGAAAAGAGTGGTAACCAGGTAACAAGCAGGGGGATGGGTGAAAGGAGGAAAGACAGCTGCTGCTCGATCTCCCTCACTGCCTCCAGGTACCCCCTGGTGGGGCGGACAGGGAAGGGGAAGGGTGGTAACCAGGTAACATGTAGCTTTTGGTGTCGTAAAACCCGGAAGCACGTCCCGCCACTCCTTTGCTCAACTGCTGCTCGATCTCCCTCACTGCCTCCATGTATCCCCTGGTGGGACACGGAAGCGGGGGTGGGAGGGGTGGTAACCGGGTAACACAGTCATTGCTCAGCTGCTTCTCCATCTCCCTCACTCCCTCCATTTACCCCCTGGTGGAATGGTGGTAACCAGGTAACAAGTAGGGGCGGGAAGGGAAGGGGGTGGTAACCAGGTCACATGTAGCCCCTGGTATTGTCAAACCCCGAAGCACCTCCCGCCTCGCCTTTGCCCAGCTGCTGCTCGATCTCCCGCACTGCCTCCATTTACCCCCTGGTATGGAAAAGAGTGGTAACCAGGTAACAAGTATGGGATGGGTGAAAGGAGGAAAGACAGCTGCTGATCGATCTCCCTCCCTGCCTCCATATACCCCCTGGTGGGATGGTGGTAACCAGGTAACAAGTGCACACAGACATTGCTCAGCTGCTGCTCGATCTCCCTCACTGCCTCCAGGTACCCCCTGTGAAAGGGGGTGGTAACCGGGTAACAATTAGGAGGATGGTGGAAATGGGGGGTGGCAAGTAGGAAAGACAGCTGCTGCTCGATCTCCCTCACTGCCTCCAGGTACCCCCTGGTGGTAACCAGGTAACACGAGCGTTGCACATGATGTTACATCTCACTTACAGCATCACATGCATGCAGCATCCCTCACTCACCAGATGTCGTATTGCAGTCAACTCGGCACCGTGTCAAGAACAAAGCTTTCAGCCACCCAGAGTTTTGAAGAAAATGGGCTTCACTTCACTTCACTCACCACCTGCCGAGAGGATTTTTTAGACGCCTAAAAAAATCACTTCACTCACCATGTGCCGAGAGCGTTTGACCCCCCAACAGGAATGACATACGGCTTCCGTCCCTCAGCGGATAGCCTCTCGGCCAACACCTTGCCCAGGTGCTGCCGGGAAGAGAGAGGGAGAGGGATGGGGAGGGAGGGTTTGGTAGCAGAAAAGAGTCCCATTGCATGATGCGGGGAGGGTGGGATATGTGAGCATTGGCCCTCCCTGATAGGAATGACGTATGGCTTCCGTCCCTCAGCTGATAGCCTCTCCACCAGTACCTTGCCCAGGTGCTGCCGGGAAGAGAGAGGGAGAGGGATGGCAAGGGAAGAGTTGGAGAATAAACCCGGAGATGACAGAATCCCCCAACAAACATCTAACCATCCATGGTGCAGGGACAGCGTTGGCTTGTCCCCCCATGATGATACATCCCAAACACTGCCACCTGCATCACGCATACATCTAGACAGGGATGAAATGGCGATTGCCTCCTTCCCTGTTGGGAAACCCCAACGCTGATTCAGCTTCAGAACAGAACGGCGCTCAGGAAAAAGAATCAACCCCGCCTCCCCACAGGCCACCTCACCTCACCTCGCTGCCATGCTTGGCATACTCCTTCTTGATCATCAGATGCACCTTCGCTCCCACCATGGACTGCTGTGGCAAGCACACCCACCCACCCACCTGCCCTGCCTCCCCCCTCCACCTCACCTCGCTGCCATGCTTGGCATACTCCTTCTTGATCACCAGATGCACCTTGGCCCCTCCCCCCATCCCTCACCTCACTGCCATGCTTGGCGTACTCCTCTTTGGTAACCAGATGCACCTTCGCTCCCACCATGCACTCCACCAGCAGACGAAATTCTAGTGAACCCAAAGCCTCCTTTCCCCGCTTTCCCCACCTCCTCCCCTTCCCCCACCTCACCTCACTACCATGCTTGGCGTACTCCTCCTTGGTGATCAGATGCACCCTGGCCCCCACCATGCGTTCCACCAGCAGGTTTCCCTCCAGGCCCGGATCAGAGGTGGCCAGAGCCTGGTGAGGTGGGGGTATACGCGGGAAGAGTGTTAAGAGCAATATTACTACTGTCCAGGGCATGCACCCTCGCCCCCACCATGCGCTCCACCAGCAGATTGCCCTCCAGGCCTGGTTCAGAGCCTGCCAGCGCCTGTTGACGGGGACGATGGGCATGGGGGTCAGGAACGCGGGGCGAAAGAACGGAAGGGGAAGAGTGAAGGGAGAAAGGTTACTGCCAGGGCATGCACCCTGGCCCCCACCATGCGCTCCACCAGCAGGTTGCCCTCCAGGCCCGGATCACAGCCTGCCAGCGCCTGGCCAGGGGCAGGGGGAATGCGAGCAAGTAGGGGAGCAACGGAGTGAAGGAAACACAGCAGGTGGGTCAGCCTCGCCCCCACCATTCGCTCTACCAGCAGATTGCCCTCCAGGCCCGGATCAGAGCCTGCAAGCGCCTGATGAGGGGGGCGATGGGGGGAAGAGTGAAGAGGGGATAGGGAAGGGGAAAGGTTATTGCCAAGGCATGCACCCTGGCCAGATGCACCCTCGCCCCCACCGTTCGCTTCACCAGCAGATTGCCCTCCAGGCCCGGATCAGAGCCTGCCAGCGCCTGGTCAAGTCAAGGGGAGGGGCGATAGGGGGTGATGGGTAGAGTCATAAGAGGAGCACCATTCGCTCCACCAGCAGATTGCCCTCCAGGCCTGGATCAGAGCCTGCAAGCAACTGGCAAGAAGGAAAGAACGAAGCGTAAGGGGAGAAATACAGTATTACAGATACCTTCAACGCTCCTCCCCCTCCCCTCACCCTCCCCAAAGCCCTCGCTAAACCTCCCTCCCCACACCCCCTTCACGAGGTGACTTTTGAGTCGACTCAAAAGTCTCCTTCAACGCTCCTCCCCCTCCCCTCACCCTCCTCAAAGCCCTTGCTAAACCTCCCTCCCCACACCCCCTTCATCCTCCTCCACCATGCGCGCTTCACCAGCAAATCTCCCCCTCCCCCCCCACTTCATTCAAACCCAGCCACCTCACTCACCCGGCTGGTCCTCAGGATAAGGTGCGCCTCGAGCCCGGCCAATCGCGCGGCGACAGCTGTCGCGCGGCAATGATTGCTCTGGATGCCACCAATAGTAATGAGCGTGTCTGCTCCCTTGGCGAGGGCGTCAGCAAGCAGAAACTCCAGCTTGCGCACCTGATGGTGGTGGTGGAGTGCGTATGTAGTCACACACACACATTAAGATAGACTCTGAATGCCGCCGATGGAGATGAGCGTGTCTGCTCCCTTGGCGAGGGCGTCTGCAAGCAGAAACTCCAGCTTGCGCACCTGATGGTGGCGGTGGAATACATACACATATACATATGCATATACATCTACATATACATACATATACATATACATATACATATACATATACATATACATATTTATATACATTTCAATATTGTTGTCAGTATTGGACTCTGGATGCCTCCGATGGTGATGAGCGTGTCTGCTCCTTTAGAGAGGGCGTCTGCAAGTAGGAACTCCAGCTTTCGCACCTGATGGTGTTGATGAAACACATATACATGTAAATGTACACATATATACACGTATTCCTATACATTTCAGAATTATACTAAAAAATAGACCCTGGAAGCGGCCGATGGTGATGAGTGTGTATATTCCCTTAGAAAAGGCGTCTGCAAGAAGGAATGCCAAATGTGCGCACCTTTTGATTGTGGTGGAATACATACATAAATATAAACATATACTACATATATTCATACACATAAAGATAAGAGAAGGTAAGAAGACCACCCACTTACTCCCTCAAACCCTCTCCCTCCCCATCTCCCTCCCTCACCTTGTTGCCGCTGAGCTCCATTCCCGAGAGGTCACCCCTCTGCTCAGGGAGAGAGGGCAGCAGGAGAAAGAAGCAGAGCCCACCCACGCATTCCCCTTGCACTCTCTCCCCCCCTCCCCCTCCCTCACCTTGTTGCCGCTGAGCTCCATTCCCGAGAGGTCACCCCTCTGCTCAGGGAGAGAGGGCAGCAGGAGAAAGAAGCAGAGCCCACCCACGCATTCCCCTTGCACTCTCTCCCCCCCTCCCCCTCCCTCACCTTGTTGCCGCTGAGCTCCATTCCCGAGAGGTCACCCCTCTGCTCAGGGAGAGAGGGCAGCAGGAGAAAGAAGCAGAGCCCACCCACGCATTCCCCTTGCACTCTCTCCCCCCCTCCCCCTCCCTCACCTTGTTGCCGCTGAGCTCCATTCCCGAGAGGTCACCCCTCTGCTCAGGGAGAGAGGGCAGCAGGAGAAAGAAGCAGAGCCCACCCACGCATTCCCCTTGCACTCTCTCCCCCCCTCCCCCTCCCTCACCTTGTTGCCGCTGAGCTCCATTCCCGAGAGGTCACCCCTCTGCTCAGGGAGAGAGGGCAGCAGGAGAAAGAAGCAGAGCCCACCCACGCATTCCCCTTGCACTCTCTCCCCCCCTCCCCCTCCCTCACCTTCTTGCCACTGAGCTCCATTCCCGAGAGGTCATCCCTCTGCTCAGGGAGAGGATCAATCATCAACTTCTGTCAATTTCTCTTCAGCCTCAATCCATCTCTTTCCTTCAACCACCAACCTACTCCCTGCCCCTCTCTCTCGCCATCCCCTTTCCTCACCTTGTTACCGCTCAGCTCCATTCCCGAGAGATCATCCCTCTGCTCAGGGAGAGGGCAAAGACACCAGAGGAGCAACGGAAAAATATTTTCCAGTGTCAATTCCACTCGTACTAAAAGAACAAAACAAACAAACATCCAAGAATATCTCAGGGAGGTTCGCTAAAATGACGCATTTGTGAGGGAAGAACTGACAGGAGGTTGGGAACTGAAGAGTAGGACCGACTCTGTGACTGTTAGTCTGCTGACCTTTATGTAGAGCTCCGTGGCGGATGTGTGGGAGATTTGGAATGTCTTTTGAGACGTCTTAAAAGTCAACAGTGTCAATTACCTTTATGTAGAGCTCCGTGGCGGGTGGGTGGGAGATCTGGAATGCCTTTTGAGACGTCTTAAAAGTCAACAGTGTCAATTACCTTTATATAGAGCTCCGTGGCGGATGTGTGGGAGATCTGGAATGCCTTTTGAGACGTCTTAAAAGTCGACAGTGTCACTTACCTTTATGTAGAGCTCTGTGCCGGGTGGGAGGTCTGGAATGTTCCACCGATGAATCGGTGTGGGTACGACTTTTTGAGGCGCCTCAAAAGAACCAACAATGTGACTAAGATTGATAATATGCTGACCTTTATATAGAGCTCTGTGCCGGGTGGGAGGTCTGGAATGTTCCACCGATGAATCGGCGTGGGGCGCTGGAATAGAGAGAGAGAAATATGAGAATTGGGGGATTTGGACGGTCGTAGGCGGGGAGAGGGAGGTATTAATAGGGGTGTTTATTTAGAGGCAAGACTTCATGCCCTGTGGGAGATCTGGAATGTTCCACCGATGAATAGGCGTGGGGCACTGGATGCAACAGAGAGAATTGGGCGGGTTGGAAGGATACAGTGAGGAGAGAGGGAGGTATGGATGAGTGTGCTAAGTTGGGTGTGTAACGCTCCAAGCCGGGCGGGAGATACGGAATGTTCCACCGATTAATGGGTGTGCCGCGCTGGAACACAGAGCATGAGGATTGTGGGGGGGGAGGGGGGGGGGGGGTTGGAAGGCCGTAGGCCGGGGAGAGAGGGAGACATGATAAGTGTGCTGATGTATGGCGCCTCACAAGACATTCTGCCTCATTTCTCTTTATCTTCCGCATCCTTGTCCCAGCAGCCCACACCCATACATCAGTGGAACATTTCAGATCTACCACATGGAACGGAGCCTTATTATCACATTTCAAATCACTCACATGTGCGAGAGTGAGGAACTGGCTGGGCAGGGGGTTCAAATGAGAGGCCCATTCCGGGGGGTTATATGGCTGCAGCGACAGGTAACCCGATTGGGGGAACTTACTGCTCGTATTCCCATCCTCGTTAGAAACGGGAGTGTTGGTATCAACAAATTACTCACATGTGCGAGAGTGAGGAACTGGCTGGGCAGGGGGTTCAAATGAGAGGCCCATTCCGGGGGGTTATATGGCTGCAGCGACAGGTAACCCGATTCTGGAAACTTCCTGCTCCTGCTTCCATCCTCGTTAGAGACGGCAGCGATAGCAGCAATAGACCCCGCAGTGTGAGAATCCATGTTCGATGCCATTGCTCGCGGAATCCGGCTTCTGGAAGGCGCTGGAGAGAAGCTTCTAGAAGCTGCTAGCGGAATTCCCGTGAGAAACGCACTGCTAGCGCTGAATGCACGTCCAGGAGAACTTGCGCTGTCAGAGCCGGTTGTCTGTGCGACGGAATGTCGACAACTCGTGGAGGGTGTTCCTGAAAGGGCTCGCTCAGGAGCTATGGTGGGTCGATTCAGACGGACGTGCGACGGGAGTAAGAATGAAACGCATACTGCGGTGCGCATTGGACCAGACTAAGGAAGCTTGACGAACAGGAGCGTCGTACACAAGGCACGATGCAAACGGGTTGATTGTGCACGATACTCCTGTTTACTACTGTCAAGTCTCAAAATTGGGTAGTCATGGCTTGTGGCTGTGGCAGAAGGCACTGAAATTCCGTAGAATTCCCAAGCCCCGGCCTGGTGCAGTGAATCTGTCACAGAATGAACATCGTTCCTTGATATTAGCAGGTTCCCCGTTTCCATATAGAGCATAAAGGCAATAAGGTGGTTGGGCAAAATTGTCTGGCAGCCAAATATATGACTTTCGTTAGGGTGAAACAGGCTTCTGTTTACAATCACAAAATCCACAAATTGTTCAATTCGTAGGCGATGTTCAGTGACATCCTCAGCGAAACCCAAACACAATCTTGAAAGTCGTTACAGTGCGCCACGTGCCAACTCGCCTGTTGTGTCAACCACTCAAATTACGACACGCCAGACACGGAGTCAACATTTTCGCTGACACAATCCAAAAAGTTCCCAGCAAGCGATCATTCACAGCTGGTTACCAATCTGTCCCGCTTTCTCAGGAGCAGTAGCAGGGGGGATGCTTCTGCTGGAGTCTCCCTCCCTCGTCATCTTCATAAAAGAGATTGCTCTGGTTGTTTGAAGGATTCTTGCTGCTAGTCCACTTACCTATCAGATAGCACTGCGGGACAGTGCGAAATTCCGGGAATTTTAGGTATCTCCCTCCATTTCCGGCTGTTTGTCATTTCCTGGTCCAATCATGGCCGCCATTTCCGCGTCCCAAGCAGCTGTCTCTAGCGCAGCAGCTTTCAAGCAGTGTGGATTCTCCTCAGGAGAAAGCTTCGGAGAGCAGTCTCTTGCGCTTAAGAACACTGTCCACCTCAAGAGCAAGAACCAAGCTGCTCTGTCATGCCGAGCTAGCGTCGCTTCAGGTTGATTACACGTGACCATCCCTAAGTCATCACTTTTTTTCAGCCAAAGAGCTCTTCATCGCAAAATCCCCCTCACATACACTCCTTACAAAAATCGCGTTCATATTCATCATTCCGCATCTCTCATCTGTGAATTCATGCTATTACAGAGACCGTGAGCTCTTCCGCTCCTGCGTCGACAGAGGATCCCTTGCTGCTGAGGGCCGTCAGGGGTGACAAGGTGGAGAGGCCTCCAGTCTGGCTCATGAGGCAGGCTGGCCGGTACATGAAGGTAAAATACTTCTGCAATTAACCGTACGAGTGATAATAACCAAATAAGTAATTTCCTTCCATTTCTGGGCCATTGCTGATAGCTCCGACGTTTGTTTCCACGTTCAGGTGTATCAAGACCTGTGCAAGAAGCACAAAACTTTCAGGGAACGCTCTGAGAATGTCGACCTCTCGGTCGAGATCTCTCTCCAGCCGTGGAGGGCCTTCAAGCCAGACGGAGTAAGGACAGAGAATTCAGTATTTCAAATAATTCCTTTCGAATGCTCGTTCTTCTACTACAGCTTTTCCTGTCGGTGGATTCTCATGATATGTTTCTTTGTGTTGTAAAACTTCTCATGGATGCAGATCATCCTGTTCTCTGACATCTTGACGCCGCTGACCGGAATGAACATTCCGTTCGACATCGTTCCCACCAAGGGCCCGATTATCCATGACCCTATTAGGACTGCCGCGGATGTCGCCAAGGTGCAGCCTCTGGACCCGGACACGGCGTTGCACTACGTCGGCGAGACCCTCCAGATTCTCCGGAAGGAGGTGAGAATCACATGCTCGATGGAATGTAAAAAAAGAAAGCAGCCGCGTGTTCCATCTCCTTCCGTAACCCTATTTACATCCCGATTCCCTCGCACATAATAAGTCGTTGAGCAAGGCATACATTTGGAACCATATACCTCTTTACCGTCTCCGTGGGTTTATCCCTGGTATACTCCGTGGTGGTAGCAACCAAGAGCGAAATTATATTATGGCCCAGGAAACCCAATAATGAAAAAAATATTAGACTGACAACGCTTCTGTTCATTTCAACGAATTAGCAACAGCATTCTTACGGACGCGACATTGCTGGCTCTCCATTTTCACTCTGAATTCCGTCTCTCCCTCTCATCCACGTCTATTTGCAACACCGTCTCTGACTTACTCGACCCGCTTTACCCTTAATGAATCGTTGTACACCGTGCTTTCCTCTGCAGGCTGCAAACCAGTCAACTGTCCTCGGTTTCGTGGGTGCTCCCTTCACAATGGCGTCTTACATTGTCGAGGGTGGCTCGTCCAAGAACTTCTCCATCATCAAGAGGATGGCATTCTCAACCCCAGAGGTGCGGTTAGCATTTGACAGGTTCAACGTTTGATGGTTTACGTTGGTTCAGACAGTGCACTGCAAAGTCCTTACCATGGCTTCTTAACCTAGTTCAGATACGTGGCCTGGCGCTAGCTTTTGACTGGTTTAACGTTACACGGACGAGTTGGTTCAGCCAGCGCACTTGAAAACCCTTCCCATGGCTTCTTAACCAAGTTCATTCATCCATAGTTTCCACCTGTATATTCTATTTGACCTAACCCTCTCTGTGTTGGTGTTGTTTTATCTTCATCCTGCAGATTCTGCATGCGCTGCTTGCCAAGCTGGCGGAGTCCACTGTGCGCTACATGCGCTACCAGGCAGACAATGGCGCTCAGGCCATACAGATCTTCGACTCGTGGGCCACCAGCCTTTCTCCTTGCGGTACGCCCTTGTGTCTCCCCAAAACAGCTTCTTACAGTTCTTTTGTTTGTCAACAGCTATGTCCCAGTCGGTGTTCGTCACCATTTTTTCCTGAAATTTTGTGTGTCACAGGTGTCGTGCTGCTTTTTTTCCTGGCTCATGGGCTGACATGCTTATCTATGTGCGTATATGTATGTGTGATTTGGCAGACTTCGAAGTCTTCAGCCTGCCATACATCAAGCAGATTGTGGCTGAGGTGAAGTCCACCCACCCTGACCTGCCCATCATCCTCTATGCCAGCGGTAGCGGTGGCCTGCTTGAGCGCATGTCTAAGACTGGAGTCGATGTCGTCAGTGTGGATTGGACCGTTGACATGGCTGAGGCTCGGGAGAGGATCGGCAAGGACATCGCTGTGCAGGGCAATGTGGACCCGGCGATTCTGTTTGGTTCCAAGGAGACAATTACAGCGAGGATCCACGACACGGTGGTCAAGGCAGGGTCACACAAGCACATTCTCAACCTTGGTCATGGTGTCTTGATAGGCACCCCAGAGGAGAATGTGGAGCATTTCTTCTCTGAGGCACTCAAGCTTAGGTATTAGTGCAGCTGGATAAAGATCCAATTCACATAATATTGGTTTTACCCTGCAATTATCTTTGTACCATGAAAGTGTCCGCTCTGTTACGTTATTCACTTGTTTTGACATAGAGCTGTGAATCTAATAAACTAGGAGCTCATAGCGAGTACTGCCAGCCTAAATTTCGCTGCACCGACTTCGATCGGGTTTCTGACAGAGTTATGCTCAACATTTCCAGGTTTAGTTCGGTAAAGCACGTTCCGTCACTTGCAAAGCCTGTTACAGTGCGGCTCTCTGCATTGACAAGCCACCTGTCAGAAGGACGTCACGCTCTTGTTAGTCACGTATCGGTGACGACCCCCAGCCAATCAAGTTCAAGCGGAAGGAGTCGTGTTTTTCGGATCGGGTACAAATCCACCGCCAAGGTTTCAAAAACTCGAAAATCAAATCCACCACCCATCATTATTGATTTGGCTACGTGTACTGTTTTTCTGCCATCATCCAGGTCAGGTGTCAGCCATTGCAGCCATTATCTAGCTCAGGCTCTCCTGATACAATCATTGGAGCCCAGCTTCCGCATTCTACGCTTTCCTGTACCTCTCGGTATACTAGAACGGAGTAGAGAGGATGGTATGTTGACTTACTGGTGGTAACAGCCAGGTCTGCGATCGCGTTTCGGAATTCTAGTAACCTCCTTGTCAACTGGAAGCTCGGCCACTCGAGAGAAGACCTCTTTCGTGCACTCGGCAGGCCGGATCGTCGTCGCTCTCTACGTTTTTTCCTAATCCCTTCGAATTATCTAACGATCAGGTATGGTGAGACACCGTCGGCTCACCTCTCAAGACAGCTTCACACAGCCGCCACGTGTACTGTCAATCCTCTTTTAGGAGGCGAATGAGTCGGAATTAGAGCACGCGGGATCTGTGCGCAGTCACTTGGTCTCGACCTCGCCTTTCCAAGCTTGAATTCGATACCCTGAAAATACCTTCAAGCCGCTCTTGACCCTTCAAGATGTCCACTGGATCAGTTTACGGTATGACGACCAGGAGAATTCCGACGCAGGCCGACAGTATCTGAATTCCTTCGCCTTGGGTTTTCACGCCTTTCAAGCTCGTCTCTTACTGTTCCGCATCGTTCCCCACCGCTCCCCACCGCTCCCCACTGCATCAACTGGACCAACTGCACCCATCATGGGATCCGTACCCCCTGGTCTCGCCCTGATTCAGGCCGTCAGTTGTTAAAATCAGTTGCTTTGACAGTACACGCCACTCACGCTGGTCTCCTACTGCTCCCCACTGCTCCCCACCGTTTCCCACCGCTCTCCACCGCATCATCTGGACTAACCACACCCATCATGGGAGCCGTACCCCCCGGTCTCGCCCTGATTCAGTACCTGCACCGCCGACGAAGCTCTCGTCATTACACCACCGCTACATTCACATCCGCTCCTTTCACATTCTACGGTCAGCAGACCTCCGTCCTCGTTATAACCTTCCTCGCTTACGCGCTCTTTCACGCCACCCGGAAACCCCCCAGTATTGTTAAGGCAGTTCTGAACCCGCTTCCCACGACCCCCCTCGCCTCCCCCGCTTTTCCCGCCGAGATTCCCGCCGCGAACCCCGCGCCTTCGTCCACGCAAGGGTTCCCGAGATTTCCGCCGCCGCCTCCCGCGCCGCCTGGGAGGAAGACCATAGAGGTTGGCGGTAATTTAAGAACTATTGGAGTTAATAGGGGCTATGGGGCCTATGGACAGGAGACGACGGGAGCAGGGATTTACAGCACTATGGCGGAAAATAGTGCTCCAAAGGGCTCTGCTAGTTGGGAGAGACGGCAGCAGGTTTATAACGAGGATGGAGTGCGGAGAAGCGGTGATGAAAGGGTGGATGGTGGGAGGCGATTGGAGGAGATAGGGGATGACAGGAGGGGAGCGGAAAGGCGGAGAGGGGCGGAAAGGCGGAAGATGAAGCGGTTTGTAGGTTTATGGCGAAGGGAGTTACCTGGTGGCGATTGGCGATGGGATGCTGGCGATGGGCGAAGAGAGTTACCCGCTGGCGATGGGCGAAGAGAATTAGCTGTTCAGGCTGTGATGAAAAGGCAAGAAGCAACGAAAAGCGCAAGCACATTGGGACCTGTGCAGGCCTTTGGATCCAATAGCTCTGGATCAGCAGCAGCAGAAGCAGCAGGAGCAGCAGCAGGAGCAGGAGCAAACAACAGCTTATCAGTCCAAGTCGGGAAAGTGACAGAAGCAGCTAAGGCAGCAGCGGGGGCAGCAGGAGCAGCAGTAACAGCAGCAGAAGCAGCAGCAGGGGCAGCAGCAGGTGCAGCAGTCGACGCAGCAGGAGCAGCAGGGGTAGCAGCAGCAAGAGCGTCAGCCGCAGCAGCAGGAATAGACTCGTCTAAAGGCCACCATTCTGGTCTAAACACGTATGGATGGGCCCCCTTTAACGGGACGAACGGCCAGGCACTACTGGGTGAACTTGATGTGGCATTCTTGGCGTCTTATGCTGCGGGAATGTATGTAGCCGGGTCTTGTGGGGACCGAATGGACCTTCGGGTGTTTCTATTCGTCGGAATGCTCGGTTCGGGCATCTTCACGTGCCTCTTCGGAGTGGGGTATTTCCGGGATATACACTCTCTGGGGTATTACCTCGTCGTTTCGGTGTTTGCGGGGGCGTTTCAGTCGATCGGGTGGCCCTGTGTGGTTGCGATTATGGCACGGTGGCATGGGAAAAAGGGCCGGGGATTGGTCTTAGGCATGTGGAATGCCCACACTTCCTTTGGGAACATTTTAGGTTCGTTATTAGCTGCTGCGTCTCTCGCGTCTGGCTGGGGCTGGGCGTTTCTTGTGCCCGGAATTGCGATAATTGTAACGGGATTTGTTGTGTTACTGTTCCTGCCGCCCGGCCCAGAGGAACTGGCGTTTGAGTCGCCAGAGGAGGAGGAGGAGAAGGAGAAGGTGGTAGAAATGGCGATGGTGAGTGGAGGGGTGGTGGGAATTGGAGGGGAGAGAGTGAGTGTGGGGCCTGGTAGGGTCATGTATAGCCCTGTGAGTACGAAGGATGTTGGAGGAGTGGGGAGCGGTGCAAATGATGTTGGTAACGGTGCTGCTGGTGCTGCTGGTGGTGCTGGTGCTGCCGGTGGTGCTGGTAAATCATTGGCAGGTGAAGCATTTGTGGGTGAAAGAACAGCGGGAGGAGACGAAGAGAGGAAAAGAAGGCAGTTAGGGGAAAAGAGAGACTCAGGAGGAGGAGCTAGAGAAGGGACCGCAGCAGCAGTAACCGGGTTACCACGTGACAGTGGTAGCTCAGCAACAGCCGCTTTATCCAACCATGTGATTACTCCACAAAACGGGACCTACAATAACGAGGATGGAGCCAGATCCCCGCCTCCCAAGCTACGCCCTCCCCCAAACCAGCGCCAGCAGCAGCAGCAGCAGCAGCAGAAAGACGTGTCAACTTACGACGACGATAGTGCTGGCCTGTTAGAAGAACTGGAGACAGCAGCCGGATCAATCGCCCACATGCGTTCAAGAGCCAGTGGCAGCAGCGGCGGCGAGGGGGGGGATCGCGCGGTGGGGTTTCTGGAGGCGTGGAGGATTCCTGGCGTGGCGGCGTTTGCTCTCTGCCTGTTCTTTGCCAAGCTCGTCGCCTACACCTTTCTGTACTGGCTCCCATTCTTCATCAGCCGAACGGGTGAGTAACAGACGGTGCAAAAGGTGATCTTGATACAGTAGAGGCGCCACTCTGGTGTGGCGGCGTTTGCTCTCTGCTTGTTCTTCGCCAAGCTAGTGGCCTACACGTTCCTCTACTGGCTACCCTTATTCATCAGCCGCACTGGTAAGAGTGGGTGTCAGACGCACAAGGTGGGTGTCAGACGCACAAGGTGGGTGTCAGACGCACAAGGTGGGTGTCAGACGCACAAGGTGGGTGTCAGACGCACAAGGTGGGTGTCAGACGCACAAGGTGGGTGTCAGACGCACAAGGTGGGTGTCAGACGCACAAGGTGGGTGTCAGACGCACAAGGTGGGTGTCAGACGCACAAGGTGGGTGTCAGACGCACAAGGTGGGTGTCAGACGCACAAGGTGGGTGTCAGACGCACAAGGTGGGTGTCAGACGCACAAGGTGGGTGTCAGACGCACAAGGTGGGTGTCAGACGCACAAGGTGGGTGTCAGACGCACAAGGTGGGTGTCAGACGCACAAGGTGGGTGTCAGACGCACAAGGTGGGTGTCAGACGCACAAGGTGGGTGTCAGACGCACAAGGTGGGTGTCAGACGCACAAGGTGGGTGTCAGACGCACAAGGTGGGTGTCAGACCCACCAAGTGGGTGCCTTCTGGGGGCGTGGAGGATCCCTGGCGTGGCGGCGTTTGCTCTCTGCCTCTTTTTTGCCAAGCTGGTCGCATACACCTTTTTGTATTGGTTTCTGGAGGCGTGGAGGATTCCTGGCGCGGCGGCGTTTGCTCGCTGCTTGCTCTTTGCCAAGCTGGTTGCGTACACGTTCCTCTACTGGCTCCCATTCTTCATCAGCCGAACGGGTGAGTAACAGGCGCACAGGTTGGGTGACTGACGCGCCAGGTGGGTGGCTTGGCTTATGCAATGAGGGGGTTGATCGGGCGGTGGGGTTTCTGGAGGCGTGGAGGATCCCTGGCGTGGCGGCGTTTGCTCTCTGCCTGTTCTTTGCCAAGCTGGTTGCATACACCTTTCTGTATTGGCTGCCTTTCTTCATCAGCCGAACAGGTGAGTGTCAGACAATGCAGGGAGCGTGATTGGGCCGATCCCCGTTCTGCCTTTACCGCGTGAGCCTTCCCACTAGGCGGTGGGGTTTCTGGAGGCGTGGAGGATCCCTGGCGTGGCGGCGTTTGCTCTCTGCTTGTTCTTCGCCAAGCTAGTGGCCTACACGTTTCTGTATTGGCTCCCATTCTTCATCAGCCGAACAGGTAAGGGTGAGTCTGCTGTCTACACGAGTCTGAGGCGTGGAGTGGCGGCGTTTGCTCTCTGCCTGTTCTTTGCCAAGCTGGTGGCCTACACGTTCCTCTACTGGCTCCCATTCTTCATCCGCCGAACGGGTGAGTGTCAGAGCATACAAGGAAGGGGAGGGGGGTAGGGGGAGGGGGGGAAAATGGTTCAACCTTTCTGGCGGGTATAGGGATCGGGCGGTGGGAGTTTCTGGAGGCATGGTGTGATAGACATTTCTGGTGTGGCGGTTGCCGCTCTTCACCAGCGGAAGGGGTGGGTGTTAGAGAGTGCGAAAGCACAACAAGCTTCACTGACATGCAATCCAGCATCTCTTAGGTGCACTGCCTCCCCTCCAGAGGTGTATTTTGAGGCGCCTCAAAATACATGCAATCCAGCATCTCGTAGGGGCACTGCCTCCCCTCCAGAGAAAAAGGGTCATCACCTCTCTGGTGCGCAATCCGGCATGTTTTTTATAGAATTCTAAAAAAAAAAATGATCGTCGGAAGAGAAAATCATTTGTCTCAAAAAGTGCTCTCCTGCCCTGCCTAGTCACGCTCCCTGCCCTGCACTGCCCGCCCACCAGAAATCGAGGGTCGCTACCTCTCTAATGCGCACTCTGGCATGTTGTCTCAGAAGTTGCTTTCCTGCTCTGCACTGCCCCTTTTTCCAGAAATTGAGGGTCGCTACCTCTCTGACGCGCAATCCGGCGTCATGTCTACAGTGTTCGACGTGGGCGGCGTGGTAGGCGGCATTCTCGCCGGCCATCTCGCCGACCAAACCGCCGCCCGGGCCACCGTTTCGGCATCTTTCCTCCTCCTTGCCGCCCCGGCTCTAGCCGCCTATTTCTTCCTAGGAGGCCTTTCTCTGTGGGTGAATATCCTCCTTTTAAGCCTCTCCGGTGTGCTGGTTAACGGCCCGTACGCGCTTATCACTTGTGCTGTCTCTGCTGATCTCGGGCAGCATAAAAGTTTGCAAGGGAACGCCCGAGCGCTGGCTACAGTAACTGCGATAATTGATGGGACGGGGTCGGTTGGAGCAGCTTTGGGGCCGTTTATAACAGGGTTTATATCGCAATTAGGAGGAGGAGGAGGGGTAGGAGGAGGAGGGTTGAGTGGGTGGGGTGCTGTTTTTGTGATGCTTGGAGTGTCTCTAGTAGCGGCTGTGTTGTGTATTGGAGGGTTGGTTGTGGAGGAGGTTAGGGGGATGGTGGAGGGGAGACGAGGGTCGGCGGCGGGGCGGCAAAATTTGGAGCAAGCAGCTTTGGAAAGAAGACCACTGCGACTAGAAGAAGGTAAGAACCTATAGTATGCTACATTATTTCGGTCATTACCTGTTAATTACCCGTTAAGAACCTTACGTTGTATGGGAGTCAAGCTACCTGTTTGTTAGTATATGTGTGTATGCTTGTTTGAGAACAATGCCTTCAGTGGGTGGGAGGCATACCATGCGTGGGATGCATGGGAACCATACCTTACATGGGAGGCATACCATGCGTGGGATGCATGGGAACCATACCTTACATGGGAGGCATACCATGCGTGGGATGCATGGGAACCAAACCTTACATGGGAGGCATACCATGTGTTTGAACCATAGCTTGCATTGGAACCGTTCAGCATACATGAGAACCATACCATATATGGGAACCATACCATATATGGGAACCATACCATATATGGGAACCATACCATATATGGGAACCATGCTAAATGTGAGAACCATACCATATGTGGGAACCATGCTAAATGTGGGAACCATACCATATATGGGAACCATACCATATATGGGAACCATACCATATATGGGAACCATACTAAATGTGAGAACCATACCATATGTGGGAACCATACCATATTTGCGAACCATACCATACCATACCATATGTGTAAAACCTTGATCATATGTGGGAATCCATACCATAAGTGTAAACCATACCATACTTGGGGATCATACCGTATGTGGGAACTACCAGACTTGGGAATCATACCGTATGTGGGAACCATACCATATGTGGGAGCCATACCATATGTGGGAACCATACCATATTGGGGAACCATACCAGATGTGGGTGGGAATCGTATCATATGTGGGTGGGGACCATACCATATAGAACTACGGTATATGGAAATTGCTGCTCTCTTTTTAGACCATTTCAACTTGTGTACCCTGCCCTGTGTGTCTTCAGTTTCGATCTTACCCTCATTTCCTGGTGTATTGGTGTGCTTCTTGTATGTCTGCGCAGGAGGTTGAGCCGGAATGGTGCTGTTGGTATCAGTGATCTCAAGCTTAACGTTTTTGCACCGTGGACAACATGCATACGAAATTTATTCTGCCCTCCAAATAGCAAAAGAAGATATAATAATGTTGCTGTTCGAAACGTACTCACGCACTGGTGATGCAAATGTTGCTGCCATTCTTGTCAATGCATATCTTGGTACGGTAATTCTTCCATTCAAGGACGGAATGTTGAATGTTGTGTGGTTTGACCTCCCACCACAATGAAATTCAAGTACTAGCTAATTCCATTGCTTGAGGGGAAAGAAAATGGGGGATGGTCCTAGGTAAATGTAATGACATGGCACCCCAATTGTGAGTGTCTTATCCTTCTTAATTTTGTTTGATGTCGTATCAATATTTTAATATCGGCTAGGCTAAATATAATCGAAGGCAGCTAGCAGCTAGGTTATGTCAAGCCTGAAACGACGGAGGCACGGACGGACGAGATGTTGCGGACGTATAACGACGGAGTAACCGCCATTCGACGTTTTTCACTGTTGCGCTGCGCGCACCATGCTTTCCTTCCGCGACGTTACAGTACCTCATGGTTTCGTCACTCCAGTTGCGAACTTGAGGGACCGGTAATCGTTCGCGAATCGCGAGTGCTCCGGTAGAATGAAACTGCAGGAGCTGGGTGTCCCTGTTGCGGCACGGAGAATCGAAACTGGCATGCTTCCGTTTCATCGCACCTCGATTTGTTGCGATAGTGTCGGCGCTCGCGAATAGAGTAACGAGCAAAACAGAATTTCGTACCGAATCCGAGACAGCTTTATCCTTCATGCGAAACTCCGTAACTGACACCCCCGGGCCGCCACATGCATACGTAAGCGGGACACGGGCTGGGGATTGGCTGTGGATTGCGCAAGAGGGGCTGGTGGGGCGGGCGTGGGATGCTGGCTGCCTGGCAAGGTGCCAATTGGCGGATGCCGTTGCAATGGAGCGTGCGACGCGAGCCACGCCAGCGAAACTTCCACATTTTGGTTGGCGCAACAAAACAGGTGCAAGGAGAGTTGAGAGGAGGGGAAGGGGGGAAGAGAGGCGGGAGGGAGACAGGAAGGGGGGGAGAGAGCATGCTGGCGGGCGCAAGGAGTGTGCGCGCAGTACACGACGAGGGGCGCATTTGGGTTGGCTGGCATTTCCCGTGAAGACTGACAGCCACACTGCCGCTGCAAGACTTCTTTTGCACGCGCTGCATTCAGCTGGCCCCTTCCCCATCCCGCGCCTTCCCTTCCCCCAGACTCTACAGCCTCCTATCCCCAATTCCCCCCCAATCCTCCATTTTCCCCATTCCCCCATGCGCCTTGTTCCTCCTTCCCCGCCCCAGTGCCTTCGTTCCCCCCATTTCCCCGTTGACGTTTCCCGAATTGCGCCGGATCGCGATTTCCAAAGCAGTCAACCCAGCTAGGGACTGGTTGGGGGCTAGAGACTTCACCTGAGGACGCCCCTCGATTGCACGGACGGTCTAAACTGAAAAATCAGGCGATCGTCGCATGGTCGGCCATTGCTGACGACAACTGCAGCTGAACACCAGCAATGGGTAACGACAAGGCCAGCTGAAAGCAAGTTGAAAGGACCTTGTTGTGAGAAGGGAAGGGACTCTGGCTGGAGGAGCAGAGAGGCCCTGAGCCCGATACAGTACGACACAGAAAATGAGATACAAATTGCTTGACCTTCCACAGTCATTCTTATCCATGATGATCGTGTTCCGTCTCGATTGTTCTTGCATTTTTTTACGCGCAGACTTCAGGATAGGTTTCTCTCCACACTTTTATTCGCAGACTCCTCGTGTTGCACAGGAGCAACTTACTTCGCGAAAGAATGCGGGAAGGGCAACAGAGGACTGAGCCCCTTACTCGCGAGACGCACGGGATTAGCGAGGACTTTTAGAATCATTCACAGCGTGTCTTGCTAGAAAAAAAGGAGGAAAGCTCTCAACGTCCGTCAACGCGTGAAAATTTCTCCCCATAGAACTATTTCGTTGCGCGAATCGCGCACTCGCGTCATGGGCTGCTACTCACCTTCTCAAACCGTTCCCAGGTCTTTCGAGCCAAGCACAATCCAGCCAATCGCAGCCGAGCCCATGACCGCGGAGCCAATCACAGTGGACGTTTTCCCCGCGGTGTTTCTGGAGCGCGACTACGAGTTTATGGGGGAGATCGGCAGCGGGCAGTACGGAAAGGTCTGGAAGTGCCGCTCGCGCCTCACCGGCCGGCAGTTCGCCTGCAAGCAGGTCAAGAAGCGGCCGGCGCGGCCGGCACGGTCGGGACGGGGACAGCAAGGGCGGAAGGACTCTGCGCAGCGGAAAACGCGGGAGAGAAACGGCGGGATATCCGGCGCGGACGGCGCGGCGGGTTCAGGAGATGACGTGGACCCGATCGAGCGAGAAATCGCGGCGCTGACACATTTGGAGGGTTGCGACGGCGTGACGTCGCTACACGGCGTGTTCGAGGACGCGACGTCGGTTTTCCTCGTTATGGACTTGTGCGATAGTGGTGACCTGTTCTCGCTTATTGCGGACACGGACGGAGTACCCGAGGACGAATCGCGTCAGCTGTTTGCTGACGTGGCACGTGCGGTGAAAGCGTGCCATGACAGGGGCGTGCTGCATCGAGACATTAAACCCGACAACGTCCTACTTTCTTTGCGCGATACTACTACAGCTACGGGTAACCCCGAGATTGCGGGGCTGGACTACAACTACCCCTCGCCTGTTAGTAACACTTCTTGGACCTCCGCCGCGCCTTTATTTCACGGTTTCCGCGCCACGACGGCGCACGAGCCGTCGGCGAGTCGCCGGCGGTACGACGTGAAGCTAGCGGATTTCGGCCTGTCGGTGATTCTAACGGGGGGCGGGCGCGTGCGCGGGTACGCGGGGAGCTTCCCGTACGAAGCGCCGGAGGTGGTTGGGTTGAGAGAGTACAGTTTCGCAGCGGATATTTGGAGCATGGGCGTGCTTTTGTACGCGTTATTGTCTGCGAACTGGCCCGAGTTCAAGAACAGGCAGGCGCTTAACGAGGAGACGGATTGGACTGGAGCGTCCTGGGATCAAGTGTCGGAGGACGCGAAGGATCTCATCCGTCGGTTGCTGACGGTGGATCAAGATCGACGGCCCACGATCGATGAGGTGCTGATGCACCCGTGGCTGGCGCCGGCGACCCTCGTTGACCGCGCCGAAAACGTTGACTCCGTTGACTGCGTTGACCGCGAGAAGGGGACAAAATTGAAACAAAATCCATCGCTTCTGCCGCCGCTCCTCATCCCTTCCCAATCGCTCGATTCTCGCGAATCTACCTCCCTCGAGTCGGCTTCATCCATTCCATCGGAAGCTTCGTTCCTCTCCGCGCTTGCCGCCACGCCTGCTTCTCTCCCCACGCCAACGGCTACTTTTGCTAGCCGCGGCGTGACGTATCCGGCGAACGAGAGGGGCCGCCGCGACACGACGGCTACTGCTACTACTGCTAGCAGCGCGACGTATCATGCGGCGAGTGAGAGGCGCGACACGATCGGCGCGGTATCGGGGGCATCGGCGGGGATTCGCAGTAACTGCGCCAGCCGCGGAAGTAGTAGCGCTTCGGAGGCCCTCCCCGTCAGTGACAGTAACGGGGCCTGGGATGTGCCTGGGGCGGCGTGTGACTGTATGGAGGAGTGCGGACTGAAAGGGCGTAACCCAAAATGTAACCCTGGGCTAAGAAAACGAGGATCCGCGGGAAACTCAGGCGACGTTGACGAGACACGTGGACCAATCGCGACTGAGGAGGAAAGAAGGTGCTTTTCGGAGCCAAGCGGCGGGAGTCCCGTAAGAGAAGAGGAGAAGGGTGCAAGCAGCGGAAGCAGCGGAAGCGCCAGCAGCGGTAGCGCCACCAGCGCCGGTTGCGCAAAGAGCGGAAGCGCAAGCGAACCACGGAGCAAGGATAACTACGCAAGAGCAGGTTCTCCGTTGGCGCGACGCGGGTCGATCAAAGAGTACGCGGCGCAGGTGGTGTCTAGTCTAAGATGGCAACCCGGCTGCTTCTATTCGACCGCCGAAGCCGTGGCTCCCGAGGCGGCCTGCGAGGACACGGCCGTTTCTTCCGCCGCAACTACCGCCGCGACTTCCGTCACTTCCGCCGCAGTGCCTCCTGCTACCGATATCGGAACTCCTAAACGTGGAACCGCGGAAACCCAAACCGAAGCTCCGAAGGGTAAAGAGACGACGGATATGGACATTCTACGAGCGATGGAGGCCCATCTATCCGCGTTCTTTATGACGAAGCAGACTAAGAAGTGTGCTTGAGAGAATGTAAATAAGAGCTCTACAATTTTGTTACCTGTTATTGAGATTAATATTTGTTTTTTTCACTCAACCAGCCTTTTTCGAATCAAGCCACAATATGATAGCTACTTATCATTTGAACTCAATTACGATTAATTTCGAATAATTGAATCGAAACCGTTGATGAGGTAAAGACTGCGCGTGGAGGCAACCTACAGTACGGTACCTGTTATGAGTTGTAATGTAGAGTGCGCAGAATAATGAATAACGAGAATGATTGATTACTCAATCTCGATACAATGAAAGTGACGAGGCCTAAATAGGGGAAAAGCTAGCTAGGCGGGGAGGTCGGGAATGGATGGCTCGGTGATGTTGCGATTGGAGCGGAGGCCGACTCGGGGGTGGTTCGGTGAGACGAAATAGGCCAACAGGTTCGTCACGTGACCCTTGGGATGGCCTCGCTAACGAGTGCCTCAATCAGGATTTGTAAATCCTTACACTCTCCAACCTCCTAAGCAAGGCAGCCTTGTACGTAGAAGAAGCCCGTTCTAACGAGGATGCCGTAGATCTCCTCTTCAGCTGAATCCGACGGCTGAAATGCCTTTGACAATATATTTTGAAAAGTTGGAACTGTCAGAATCTAGCAGCAGGAATGATTGAACTATCAAAGAGTTGGGTACAAGTATGAAACCCTAAAAGGGGCTGTACCCCATATTGGCTACCCCACTACAGCCTACACATATATAGCATGCATATACTTTGACACACCCCCATAGGCAAAGTGGGGGAGAGCAAGGGGTCACAAGACCAGTCAAGAGAAGCAAAGCAAGCTCAGGGTGGATCACAACGTCACCACACACACTGAGCACAACCAAAGGGCCACAAGGCCAGTTCACATGCAGGGGTATATATGAAAAAACAACAGCACAGTGATCTCTACCTAGTTGAGAAAGCATGCAGGTATATATAGATCACAGTACAAGCAAAGTCTACAGCAAGTGAGGAAACGTGGGCACAAGGCCTAACAGAGTGCAGATGCCGATGATCACCAGACGGAAGCGCCTTGGTGAATATATCAGCAGTGTTGGCCCGAGTGGCCACGTGAGCAAGACGAAGCTGACCACGCTGCTGCAACTCTCGAGCCAGGAAGTAACGCAGAGCGATGTGCTTCGTTCTGTGCTCCAGTCTGTGCTCCTGACATAAGGCTATGGCGGCCTTGTTGTCGACGTACAGCACTGGAGGAGAACGAGGCCGCTCTCCCAAGTCGGTCAGCAGGTAGGTGAGCCAGCGTAACTCCTGTGCAGCCATGGCTGTGGCGTAGATCTCAGCCTCACAACTGGAGCTGAGAACTGAAGACGAGCGTATAGAACGCCAAGAAACCGAACCAGAGCCAAGGCTAAAGGTGTAACCCTGTGACGACCGATGCGTAGCCTGGTCGTCAACCCAAGAAGCGTCTGAGTGGCCAGTGAGGACAACGTCGCTCCGTCCTCCAAGCACGAGCCCCATGCCCGATGTACTGCACAAGTAGCGTAGTACCCTCTTAGCAGCATCCATGTGCACCTTTCGGTGCCGACCAGGAGCCACGTAGCGAGCCAGAAGGCCAAGAGGGTACGCAAGGTCAGGACGAGTGCAGGTCATCAGGTACATGAGGCAGCCCACTAGCTCTGGGTAAGGACAATTCGGCTCTACGGACTCGTCCGAAGGTGGAGCTGAGAGCGAGTGACCTGTAGCCAGAGGAGTGGCCTGTGCCGAGGACCAGGTGAAGCCAAAGCGCTGAAGGACCTGCTGCACCATGTGTGACTGAGTCAGTGTGATGGTGCGGCGTGCTCTGTCCCGAGTGATCCGCAAGCCAAGATAGCTTGTCAGCTCACCCAGTTCTGTGCACGTGTGTCTCTTCTGCAGCTCCGACTTCACCAGGGCGAGAGCCTCAGTGTCAGCAGTGGCAAAGACCAAGTCGTCGACGTACACGAGGATGTAGAACGGCGGCAGCGAAGTGTCGGTGCGCAGAAACAGCGACGGGTCAGCAGTCGACGGAGCAAACCCAAGAGCCGCAAGTGTCGTCCTCAGTGTGTCGTGCCACTCACGTGGCGCCTGGCGGAGACCGTAGACCGGCCGCCTGAGGCTCCACTGGGTACCAGGAGGGAACGACCCAGTGAAGCCAGGTGGGCGGCGCAGCCAGATCTCCTCGTGCAGGCTGCCCTGTAAGAAGGCTGTGCTGAAGTCAAGAGAGTGAAGCTCGTAGTCACGCTGAGAGGCAACGTGCAGCAGCACCCGAAGAGTGGTCATCTTCGGGGTGGGGGAGAAGGTCTGGAAGAAGTCTACTCCCTCTCGCTGACTGAAACCTCGTGCAACGTAACGCGCCTTGAAGGCAGGCGGAGAACCTGGCGGCCGCTTCACCCTGAAAATCCACATGCCACTGACGATGTTCGCCCCAGGTGGGGGAACCTCGTCGGCGTAGGTGCCTGTGGACTTCCAGGATGCCATCTCTGCGTCCATGGCTGTCTGCCACTGAGAGGAGTACTCACCCGCGATCGCCTCAGCGTAAGAGCGCGGGGTCGGGATGTCTGGAGCATCCGGGTCTCCCTCAGGGGCAAGCAGCATGGACACGAGATGAGGCGCAGCGGCTGCAAGACACTCAAGGTCCTCCAGCCTGTCCTCAAGGACGTCCGTGCCAAGAGCACACTCACCCCCGACGGACGAAGGATAGACAGACTCAGACTCAGCAACAAGACTAGCGGCGTAGTCTAGACGACAGGCAGCAGCAAAGTCAACAAGCTCAACAACTAAGGCAGACGTAGCAGCAGACTCAAACGACGAGTCAGTGACAACAGTGGCTAGCAGACGCGTGGCAGTAGGGTGCTCAGCACGAAACCGGTCAGACTCGGGGTCCGCAACGATAGGCAGAGAAGATGCAGGAGGGGACGGCAGAGGAACAACGCTGCGGAGGAGAGGAAGGACGACGGACTACAAGGTGGGTGTCGGGGACAGCCGGCAGACGCGGACGAGGAACACGACGACCGGAACGACCAGAACAGATAGGCGAGACAGGACGCGACGAAGGCTCACGACGCTCAGTAAGACCCCCTAGCTGCTCAGTGTAAGGAGAAGGAGCAGGCAGCGGTGAGCCAGGCTGTAACGGAAGACCAGTAGACGAAGGGAGACTAAGAACCTGGCGAAGCACAGAGTCAGGCGGTGGCTGAGACGACGGAGACGGTGGAGCGAAGAACAGGCGCGGCTGTGCAGTGACACCAGCACCAGCAGCTCCAGTACCCCCAGCAGCTCCAGCATCTCCAGCAGCTCCAGAACCTCCAGCGCCAGCACCCTCAGCAGCTCCACAACTTCCAGCTCCAGCGCCACCAGCGCCAGTACCTCCAGCAGCTCCAGAACCTCCAGCACCAGCACCCTCAGCAGCTCCAGAAACTCCAGCTCCAGCGCCACCAGCGCCAGTACCTCCAGCAGCTCCAGAACCTCCAGCACCAACACCCTCAGCAGCTCCAGAACCTCCAGCTCCAGCGCCACCAGCGCCAGCACCTCCAGCAGCTCCAGAACCCTCAGCGCCAGCTCCTCCAGGACCAGCTCCACCAACAGCAGCACCCCCAGAACCGGCACCTCCAGTCCCAGGGTCTCCAGCCTCAGTGCCTCCAGCAGCAGCACCCTCAGGCTCAGCACCTCCAGCCCCAGCAGCTCCAATACCTCCAGTACGAGCACCTCCGGGACCAGCACCACTCCCAGCTCCAGTGACGTCAGCAGAAGTACCTCCAGCGGCAGAGCCCCAAGCTCCAGAAGCGCGACCGTGACGGCGACCGTACCAGTCGTGCAGCTGCTGCGAGGTGAGAGGCACACGCGGACGAAGGCGGCTACTCCAAGGAAACCGCGCAACAGCAGACTCAGGACCCTCAGCGCCAGTACCCGCAGCAGCTCCAGAACCTCCAGCTCCAGCGCCACCAGCGCCAGTACCTCCAGCAGCTCCAGAACCTCCAGCGCCAGCACCCTCAGCAGCTCCAGAACCTCCAGCTCCAGCGCCCTCAGCAGCTCTAGAACCTCCAGCAGAAACAACTCCAGTGGCAGAGTCACCAGCTCCAGCGCCTCCCGCAGCAAAGCCCCTAGCTCCAGCAGCGCGACCCTGACGGCCAGCGTACCACTCAAGCAGCTGCTGTGGGGAGAGAGGGAGGCGACGACGAGAGTGCAGCGGCGAGGCACCAGCGGAGCGACTAGGGAGTCGGTCGCTCCAGGGAGACTGCTCACCAGACGCCTCAGCGCCCCCAGGCTCAGCACCCCCAGACTCCTCACACCCAGGCTCAGCACCTCCAGTCTCCGCACCCCCAGGATCAGCACCCCCAGGCTCAGCACCCCCAGGCTCCGCACCCCCAGGCTCAGCACCCCCAGAAGCAGCACCCCGAGCAGGACCACCCTCAGCAGGACCTGAGTCACCAGTGACCTCAACCGGCTCAGTCAAGGGAGGAGGGTCTACCTGAGACACACCTGAAGGAGCAGGACCGGGAGCGGGGAGGGGGTCTACCTGGGGAGCACCTGGAGCGAGGAAGAGCGGCGGGGGGGGGAGAGCTTGTCCGCGGTGGTATCGCGGACAAAGGCACGAGCACCCCAGACCCGGAAATGCGACGCATCGCCAACCTTCCCCGTCCACAGCAGTGTGGGCGAGGTCTCCGGCAAGGAGACACGGGGCCAGAGGTTGAGCTGATGCGCGGCGTACCGGACCGCAAACGGCCACAGAAAATGGGGGGCAGCCGCATGGATCATGGAGGTACGAGCGACCTCCATGACTAAGCCAATGCGGCGCTCAGCAACCCCATTCTGCTGCGGAGAGGCCGGAAGCGTGAACGTCTGGCGGATGCCGTGCTCCGCACAGTAGGCTGCCAAGAGGTCTGAGGAGAACTCACCACCTCTGTCAGAGTGCAGACGCAGGACAGGAAAGTCCGACTGGAACCGCTCGCGGAGCTGGAGACGAACAGTGCGGATCCAGGGGATCAAAACATCAGGGACCTCCCCCTTGCTGCGCAAGG